TACAATATATTATCACTTTTTTGGAAAGTGAAGATCCTGTTGATCTTATATATTTGGATTTTCAAAAAGTATTTGATAAGGTTGCACACGAAAGATTGTTGTTAAAGTTAGAAAGTTACGGAATTACTGGGCAGGTTCATGGCATTATAAGGAACTTCCTGACAGGTAGATCAATGACAGTACGTGTGAGAGATCATATTTCATCATGGGAGCCTGTTACTTCTGGAGTCCCCCAAGGGTCTGTTTTGGGACCCTTGTTATTTATATTATTTATTAATGATATGCCACAAGTTACTAAATTTAATACTGTGCTTTTCGCTGATGATGCCAGAGTTATCGGTAATGCATATTATCCGGAAGATATTCAAACAGACATTGACTGTCTCAGTAGGTGGTCAGAAATATGGCAGATGAAATTTAATGTGGAAAAGTGTGGTGTACTTTACATCGGAGAGAGCAATCCACAACATGGCGGCTATACATTGGATGGCATTCAGCTAAAAAGTGTACAGAAAGAAAAGGATTTGGGGGTAACCTGGTCTGCCGGGAAATCCTTATTTGATGATCATATTCGAGAAGAAATCGGAAAGGCCAAGAGGATGATAGCCTGGTTAATAAGAAATGTTGTATCTCATGAACATGAAGTGTTGATTCCTCTTTACAAGGCCTTTGTGAGGCCACATCTGGAGTATTGTGTGCAAGTTTGGTCCCTGGTAGCAAAGCATGGTAATTGGGGTATAATTATGGCAATTGTTAAATGTCAAAGGAATTTTACTAGAATAATTCATGGTATGGGTTTCTCAGCTATAGTGAGAGACTGGGCCTGATAACACTCCTCGAACGTAGAATGCGGGGTAATCTTATTGAAGCATACAAAATTATCAACGGACATGTTAATTATGGCCATCAAATGTTTAACCATAATTTGCATTATAGTACTCGTAATTTATGCAATGTATCATCCTGTAGGACCGGATTTGCGTTAGATTGTTTTAGCGCATAAGAGTAATTAAGTATTGGAACAATTTACCAAACTCTGTTAAGTATGCACCTGGTGTAAACGCCTTTAAGGCAGGACTTGAACATCTAAAAAGTTATAACTCGGATTCTCGTCACGGATATTGGTATTTATCGCAAGAAATCTTTAATACAATTCCTGATAAGAATGACCATGTTACTTATCTTAAATCGCATCCAGAGGTTGCTATGCGAAGACCTATGTCTTGTTTCTAATTTTTAATAATTGTAATATATATATTACTGTAAGATTTATATTTCTGTAATTTTCTTAGATGCATGAGTTGCTTAGAAAGGCATAATTAAAGTTATCTTATCTAACGCTCTATAAGAATATAATTTGTCAAAATAACGCATCCCAAAATTTTGTTTTCCTCAATAGCTTAATGTTTTCAAATGAAGCATAACAAAATAAGAAATCAATATGGCCTTGTTCAATATCGGAATGTTTATAGTCTGCCAGGATTTTAGGTATCTGCACTCGATATAATTAATAAATAATTGTAGATGGCGAGTGTAAATTTTTATACATTTATTAGACTAAACCAGGAGCAGTTGCGAAAAATGCAACTATATATGCCCTTTGACAGCCGTGCGATAGCACAATGGCTTGACCTATAGAAGGGGCGGACCATTAGAAATCCCTGGGGGGGGGTGAAAATTTAAAAAAAATCGTGCAAACAAAAATGCCTGGAAAAAATTCGCACGACATAGAATAGAATAGAATAGAATAGAAACTTTATTTCACGAGGGGAAACGTATTAACCATAAAAGTTATCTACCATAGGGCACTCGCACTATTTTCATATTTACAGGCATAAGAAGTATTAAAGATTACGACTATTTACATATAAGAAAAAAAAATTAGTAATGAATACAATTACAATTTAGTAAATATTTACAATTTATACAAAATAGATCTTCGATATGGTTAGTAAGGTTAAGCTTTTTAAGAAAGATTTTACGAATTTCTTGTTTGGCGTTAGTATATGAAGAGCAAGATGGCGAAGCAGCAAGTTGCTTACAATCGCTATCTAAGAAATTAAAAAGAATAAACCATTACGTCAGAGAAAAAAAAATCGTGCAAGCAAACAGCAAATAGTCTTGAAAAAAAATTCTTGCAGAGGTTAAATGCATAAAATTCAACAGTCTTAAGAAATCACAGTCAAATCGTATCACAGATACTAGTTTCTCGATGTTACATAACAACGTGAGGAGCTTGAAACGCAACTTGGAAAATTTTCAAACCCATTTATTACAAGAACTTGATTTCAACTTTAGTGTAATAGGAATTACTGAAACTAAAATCAGGGATGATAAATTTACTGACTTTAATCCTGAGATAGTTAACTATAAATTTGAATTTGTTCCAACACCGCTGGCATCGGGTGGTGCGGGAATGTACAT